ATTTCAGTCTCTAGATGTGCAAAGCTGGTAGAGACATACCCCAAAAGACTGGCAGCTGTAATTGCAGCAAAAGGTGGTTCTACAAAGTATTGACTCAGGGGACTGAATAATTACGCACACCCCACTTTTCAGTTATTTATTTGTAAAAAATGTTTGGAATCATGTATGATTTTCGTTCCACTTCTTACATGTACACCACTTTGTATTGGTCTTTCAGGTGGAATTACAATAAAATTGATTCATGTTTGTGGCTGTTTGTGGCTGTAATGTGACAAAATGTGGAAAGGTTCAAGGGGCCGAATACTAGCCACTGTATTGAGGAAATAACCATGGGAATCTACATCATAAAGTCAAGAGATGCCAGTGGCAGCCCCGAGGACATACGGATAGTCTTTGAAGGCCAGAGAGTCTTGCAGGACTTGGATAACTATGCCTTAGCAGCTGCTATGCTGTTTGAACTTATGTACACTCTGAACCTAACCTACCCACTGGAACTGAAGTATACCTTTGACGGAGTTTAAAGGTGTTAAATTGTTCCTCTTCTGTGTATGCACTTTGTCTCAGGGTCACTGAGCTCCTGTGGTAGGTCAGACCACTTCCAGGGTCTGACCTATCCTTGGACCAACTGTCAGACCCTACAGTTGGTGCAGGGAGTCCTGGGATCAGCCATACAAACTACTGAGCACCATTTTGAGCTGCTGAGACAAAACTTCAGCAAACGGCCTGCAGTATTTCTGGGGAGTCTTTAAATTAGCCGTTTAAAGTTTGACAATTTTCATGAAACAATGTGGCATCTTTTCACTAACATATGATCCAGTCTATGTATTTAATTTTTTCAAGCAGTTTATCCTCTTAAGCCCCAACGCCCCCTGATACGGGGGCAAAAAGCAGGAGATCAGGTAGGCTTGGGGCTTAAGAGGTTAAGAACCTCTTGGTCAGCTGGGGCCTTTCTGCATGAACCCTGTGATGGACTGGCAACCTGTCCAGATGGCAGCTGGCATAGTGATTTGCTCTTTTATAGGGAAAGATTAACTGCAAATGAAACCAGAGCACCCACCTCCGTCCTGTGAAAAATAATTGTTCCCGAGGGAAGGGGTCTATTCTAGGGAACAAGACCCCTATTCACAGGACAGAATGTTTTTTTCCACCTTCATTTAGAAGGAGAAGGCAGGGCAGGCTTCATCCTCAGGCCAGGCAGTTTTTTTTTGTTGTTGTTGTAAACCATTTGTCTTTTTTCTATTTTTTATTGTTTTCTAATACATCCCTAATTTATCCTTTCAACTTCTACCTTGTGCTGCTGTTACAAGGGAATTTTCACAGTGTGGGTTAAATAAAGGCTGTGGTTAAAGCAGCATGGACTTGTATCCAAGGTGTCACACAGTAAACCACACAGAAAGGAAGATTTTAAAAATGTGTTTATTATCACTTTTTCAGAGAAGATCTTAACTAGAAACCACATAAAAGAGAAAAAAAAAGATCTTGAATTTCCAAAAGAATTAAAAAATTAATAATCAAGTATGCAAAGAGCAGCCTCTAAAAATAGTGGTACAGTGTCCTAGACAATAGTCTGTTTTAGCAACTATGCATGTAACAGTATGCTTGTTTAAGTATGTGTAGTATAAATGGTAGAAATGCTCATTTGGTCTCAGAATGCCGGCAGTAGTTGAAGCTAGAAAACTCGGTCAACATTTTACATTTCATTTTGTCTTACAAACATTTAAGTGTTGCATAAATCGTTTCTGTTCAGTGACCGAATGCCACGTCTGCTGCTATCTCACCAATATCCTGAACAGCCCAGCGACAGTGAGGTCAGCAGCGAAAGGCCATACAAGCTTAGGAGATAGGGCACCTTTTCCTCTTCTTCTGGCTTGAGAAGTTGGTTGCTTTGGTGATGGCACTCATGATAATTTTGGAGATGCACTGTGGAGTCTCTTGTGAGGACGATTTGCAGCAGCGGCGGACAGTAGTGGGAACAGCCCTCTTTGATGTGCACAGCTTCTGTGCCATTTCTTCAAGCTGATGTCATGGAGAGATCAAAGGCAGAACAGCAGCGGGAAATCAGAACTCTCTGTTCAAATTTTAAATGTTGCCAGGCCAATTTTTTTTGCAATTTGTCTTATTTTTGCAGACAAACTTCCCCTTTTAATGGCTTTTAATGGGACTTACCAGTCGCGCAGAGCAAGCGGTCTTCTCTTCTTCCTGCAGGGGGCAGCATTGTGTCACAAAGTCCTTAAGAGGAAACCCAACAGGGAATCTAAAACAGTCACATTGATGCCAATGCATCTCATGTTAAACTGCCCACAGATTATATACTTAAACAAATGTGTTGACATTTCACAGAGAAAAATGAATAGAAAAAATGGAAAAAACATCAAAAGAAACAAAAAGAAATTATATGAAGATCAGATCAAAGAAAAAAATGCAATAAATAGTGTCTTACTTCTTCTTGATGGTTTTGTGAGTGTCACATATCTTGTTCAGCGACACTTCCTCATGAGCAGAAGTCACATTATAATATGGGTCTGGAGACATCTGCTGGAAACAGCTGTATTTATCGCTTTGGTTCAAACAGCAGGGGTAATTCACTCGTCCTCCGTTCTCACGCAAGCAGAACTTGTTCAGCTCCTCACTCCACTGAAATGAAGAGCAAGAATGAAGTGTCACGACATGGAAACTACTCAGTTAAGCAAAAATTTGTATTTTTAGCTGCTATTCCTTTACCTTCTGGTCAGCACAGTTGAGTTTAGTCTTCTTATTTTTGCAGCAACTTTTGAATCCCTTCTCTATAAGATTAATGGTCTTCGCCTGAAGAGCCACCATTTCATAGCCTGAACGTGGGAGGCACTTGATGCTGTAGACGGGGCGAAGCCTCTGGTTGTGACACATGGATTCAATGGTATCTGCGGTGGGTCGTCCAGGAGGAAAGCTGATGTCAGCAGCTCGGGGAGTAGATAGTTCCTTGGGCTTCCCTTCTATGAGGGCTAAGGGAACAGGGCTGTGTGTCCTGCAATGCATGAGGCATAAGATCAGACACAGACATGCCTCCTACGGGCTCAGGATGCATTCAGCGTAACGGAAATGTGTTTTGCAATATGAAGCTACTTTTTCTCTTTGTCTTAAATGATAACCCTGACATTACTTCCTCTACAGGACTCTTCTCTTCATTGCAATTAAACTTTTGAACTTGACAGATGATGCACGCCCAACAAAATCAATATAAGCAAGTGCACAATAACATCTTTCCACAGTAATAAAATCATTAGTACTATTATGTGCTGGCAAGTGTATTGTTAGATTAATACATAAACATAAATGCAATGTAGCGATAACCATCTCAGCTACTGTATTAAAAATGGTGCCTGCTGCTATGCATTTTTAATGGATTCATTCTAAGGTTATAAGAATTATTAATTTGTTGAAAGGCGTAATTACACACAAATCAATATACATTTATGAGTACAATATTTTCTTTCTATTAAATGATCTAAAAAATTACTTAATGTACCTTTAAAGTACTGCCTTTAGTGGCTGAGGCAGCAAAGTATTTATGGTTTAACCTTGGTACTGTTTATTGAGACTGACAGAGAACAAATGTATTATCCTCTTTAATCCCAGTGAGCAAAAATATTGATAATCATTTTTTTTTTGCTTTTCTACGCACCTCTGGCAAGTGTTCGGGTTAAAGGTGAATTCAGCGGTAGAGGGAAGAGGTTCCACTGGCAGCTCCTGTGTCGGCCCGTAGTTTGGGTTTGGAGCATCATTGCTGAAGCAGTTGAGTCTTTTGTTGTTGTCGTTTATTTTACAGCAGTGATACCAAGGATGCTTTATTGAAAGGTCCTCCTCACAGTACTTTTTAACTGACAGCTCCCACTTGAGTAAGCACAAAACAGAGTAACACAGACAGTCAGGGTGCACAGTGTGAATGAAATTCTTCAATAATACCATGAAGTCTGCACCTTGTCTGCTACTTATTGAGTAAATTCACCACCTGAAGTTATGTTGTCAAGAGACAAATTAGAAAACAAACAAGAAGCTGCTAAGGTAACGCTCACTGAGGAATTCAACATAGTTTTGATGCTCATGCCAAGGCCTGCCCGCCTGTTATGTCTGCCTGGGTTGATTAAACGGGCTTATCGACTGAAAGCGCTCAAGGTTTTCAACTTTGTTTTTAAAAAAACAAAACCCAAGTACCATCACCTCTGCAATGTGAAGAATGTTTCATGCTCCAACTATGTTCAGGTCCAATTCATAAAGTGGTTGAAAAAAAAAAATGCTGCTTTTTCTACATTTACAGACTCAAAAATGAAAAGAATATGAGCGCAATAAAAAACTGTATATGTTACTGTATATTATTAGTGCATTGTTCCTAAACAGCACAAATTGTGTTTTTTATTACATGGAAGTAAGAAAACACTACTTCCCTAATCTGAAAAAAATGAATCATCAGCAAAAGTAAGAGAAGGGGAACTCGAGCAACAAACACAGGTCAACATGACATCACTTTATATTTATGCAGAAATAAAAAAAGTATTGCTGAATTAGCTATAAGAGCTGTTGTGAAAACATACAGCCTGTGTGGCGCAACACAGGGCCACTTCTCTCTCCCACGTCTGGTTGTCTTTGCAGCATGTGCTCAGCCAGGCCTCTGCATTATTCACAGCAGAGGCCCTCAACTTGTCAACTCCGTAGCCTGAGTCAGGAAAGTAGGATGATGGGTAGCGAGGACGAAGGTCGCTATAGCCACAGATGGCTTGGAGATTCTCTGACGTCGGCCGACCGAGAGGAAACTGAACGTTATAAGTTGTCGGAAGAGAACGGGGACCAACAGTTGGTGGGCCTGCAGGGGAAAGACCACAGTCGGCACTTTTAGCAGTAGAACGTAGTACAGAAGGAGCAAGTTTTAAAAAAAATGTAAGTAAAGTAGATGCATACGTCCTCTTGGTCTTGGTCTGAAACCTAAGAAAAACAAATAACATTTTTTTTTTAAAAATCAAACAAGAGAAGGCAAAAAAGATTCCCTGACCCAGGTGGTACTTATGAGTAGGTAAGTACAGTACTGTGCAAAAGTTTTGAGCCACTTGAAAAACAAATTGCAGACCTTCTGAAGTTTTTCTTAGGACCATAGCTACCTTTTTCGCTCAATTACAATCCAGTCTTTTTTTATTTTAAATTATGGCACTAATCATTGACCTGGGAATCATTCAAGTATAAACAGGCTCTACAAAAAATGAGAAAGATTACAAAGTTCAAAAGGCATAAAATTGTATTTTTACATTAATAAGCTGATTCACAAAGAGCTATAGCTGAAAACTGGAGCCATATCTCAGCATGGTGTGCAGTATGTCCTTAAAGAATTGGAAGAAACTCTTAACAGAGAATGGACCAAAGGCAGCCAAAATACAAAGAAAAGCTTTGAGTGTGCTTTTAAGACTACTTAAAGACATTCCATGGTATTGCACACTACTGTGAATATCTGCTCACCTCTCTGCCTTGGTTGAGGCTGCACTGGCCGCTGTAAATCTGGGAAAACAGAAAAAAACACAAAATATATTAATT